TCTAGAAGACCTAAAATGAATGAAAGGACAATTAATATTCTTTGGAGTGCTCCAAACTCATAAAGGTCCAAATCTTTGGGACAAAAAGCTCATAAAACTCATCCATGGAGATCAAAAAGGAAACTCATCAAGGTAGAAACTTTATACCTGAAAAAGATGTACAATGAGGAGTAGTTTCTGGATCTACAAGCTTACAAGCAACATCTCTTTCTTCTCTATCCTCATTCTTCAACAAATATGCACCAAAACCACTTAATAAGCTTTCAAACTCTTACAAACAAGCTTAGACTCGAGATTAGGGTTTTTGAGGGAATGGTGGCTGATAAGGAATGTCCAAGGAAGGCATAAGGTAGTTTAAATAGGGAGAAACAATGAAAATTAGGGTTTATCGACTGGGCTAATATGCCCGGCGTACCACACGTTTTCCCAACGTACTAGCAGGGCTTCTGTGATCCTGCATCTCACGAGTACGCTACACGTACCCTCATGTACGCCCAATGTACAGGCTAAAATGCAAAACTTTTACCACAAGGGATCAATTATGCAACTTTGATAAAGTTAAGGGCTAAAATGATAATACCTGATAATCGGATGTTACAAATTACAAAAAGTTGAAAGAATTTTGGAGCTATCAAAGTATGGGAATCAAAAGATCAAAAATTCTGAAGAATCAAAAAAGTTGAAGATACCAAAAATCAAACAAGAAGGTGGCGAATTCAAAGAAATTGAAAAGCAAATATCAAACAAGAGATGAATTGCAAGAGATTCATTGTGGTATCAAAGTTGTAATTCTTTCTAGAATTTATTTATGCTTGTTAGTTTAACCAAAAATACCTTGAGGTTAAGAAAGATTTATGAAGATGGATTCATAGGGTTGAAAAAATGAGTGTCGTATAAGCTAAGGGTGAAGGTTCATAAGGATTGTGAGTATTTAGGAATGGGAAGTTTTTAGGAATTATAGATACAAATACATGCATTGCGGTCTTGGGATAATGGTTTGGATTTAAATGGATTGTTTTATGCAATATTAGTAAGTTAAAAATCAGTTTGCTTGGGGGCAACCAAAGATTAAGTGTGGGGTATTTTGCTATGTGCATATATATATATATATATATATATATATATATATATATATATATATATATATATCTTACATCATATCTTAATGTTTTTAGTCATTTTATGCTCATTATAGAACAAAAGATACTTAATCTATTATATGTTGTGTTGTAAGGGTAAAAGATATGCTCGGAGAAAAAAGGAATATGGAAGCTAGGAACTTGGATCAAGTCTAAAATGAAGAAAACTCTCTTTCCTACGTCGTAGTGACATTACCACGTCGTAGTTTTTTGAAGTCTACCGTCGAACCTCGAAGACTTGCAGATTACGTGATAAACCCGAAGACCACATCGTGGTGGACCGACTTCGAGAAGACTATAATAGAAGGCACATTCCTCTAAAAACCCAACTTTTTTGGAGCTTTTGTCAACTTTTGAAGGCCAAGAACATGCCTTGAAGCTTGGAGTTGCAGAAGATCGAATAGAAGCTTGAATTTGAGAGATTTGAGGCAAAACATATTATTAATATTTTTTCTTCTTGTGTTTGATTATGAATTACAAGTTGAACTTCGTTTTTATGTGTTTAGTTGCTGAAATCATGGGCTAAAAACCTTTGACTTTCGTTTAGATTAGATTACTTGTCTTGTTATGAGTTGATTTAAGGATAGGATTATGCTTAGTTGGTTATTTGTTACATTAGCTTATTAAAGAACCTTTCTATGCTTATGAGAGCTACTTTTCTGTTTATTGTTGAGTTTAATTAAGTTTGAATGACCATCATTCTTGAATAAAATTGAATCACAAAATTGTAGGACTAGTGTTTTGACCAAAACCTAGGGTTAAATAGAAAAGTGGCTAAGTAATTGTAGGAGCTAAAGGATTAGGTTAGTGAACATTAACCCGGTAAATTTGTTTGTTTATCCGCTTGATCACCGAATGAATGAACTTATTTTCTAAAGGATTAGGTTAGTGAACATTAACCTCGTCATCTTAGGAATCGATAACGAACGAGGTATTAATCCATTGCATTTCCATTAAATCAACCATAATAGCAAGTATATTGAAGCTAAACGAAAGTCTCTTAATTATCTTGCTTAAAAATCATCTTTTGTGTTTCTTGCTTTTAGTTTTGCTTTTTGTTTCAATTAGTTGATAATTAGCTTTAGTTTGATTAATTAAGTTTCTAGTCTTGCAAAACAATAGAAAAACTGATTTCTTTTATTAAATAGTAATTTAGGTATTTAGCAGATAAAATTAGCTAATCATTATGTTCCCTGTGTTCGATACTCGACTATTTGTGCTATTCTATTTTCGACTAGGTACACTGCCTTAGGAGTAATAATTAGTTACATTAGTAGATTAAAACTAGTGCATAATTATTTTCACATCATTACCTACTATCATACATTTTAAACTCACTATTTCAGGAGGTTGTCCAAAGTGTTACTGCCTTTTTTACTTGTACCGTACTTTCAAATTGTATTCTTAACCTTATATTGTTTTATAAGTCCTTCCAAACATTTATAGAAACGTGAACTTCCATATTAGTTATGTCATCATCTCTATATCTCCAACATCATTCATAATGTTCACAACCGGAGTTTCATACACACCATCGTCATCTGAACCTTCCCTAATATTACATAATGACTTGCTAATAGTATATTCACTATATTGTGAATTGGGTTCATCAAATCTAAAATCATTAGCTACCTCAAATGTATCATAATCAGACAAAGGAAAATGTACATTTGAAAGATTGGGCTTTGATACATCAATATTATGAAGAATATCAACAAAAATAGTACTTGTAGGTTACGTTATTTGTTCATGGGCAATTTGTTCAACTTCAATAAAAACATGACCCCCAATAATTTTCAACATTCTCAGTCAAATAATACATCATGTCTAGACTTGAGTCACTTATGACCCATCAAATTGATAGCATAATAAGATATTTAACTTAGATAACATTTTTCAACTCCAACATCTGCCTAACATAAATCTTTAAATTCTTCATACCCCATTTCATGCCTAATAATATTTGAAGTAGTAAAAGTTGAATAATCACCGTTTATGATACAATTCTCGTATTCAATACTACCAACCCAATATAAACTAATCATAAACGCACGATTTATAATCATAATGATAAATATACCAAAATCTAACAGCATAATAAAACATCAGATAAAAAAATGTAAAAGAAATTAAAAAGGGTAAATATGTCTTTTTATGTGGGTGAGAGACTATTTGTTAAAAGTTTTAAAACCACAAGGCCATATATGAGGTTTTTTGAACTTAGGGACCGTATCCGTGATTTATGAAAACTAGAGGACCATTTCTGAGGTTTTGTCAACAAAAAACACATAAAAATTAAAGGACTATTCTTGTAAGATATAAAGAGTTAAAACTAAAACATATTCAAATTGTTCAAATAAATTGTTCCGCAAAGAACAAAAGTGCCCCTCCCTCAAACCAACTTATTTCGACAACACTTTATAAAATTATCCTATTTTTATAAAAACAAATCTACTTTTATAAAAAAGAAAAAAAAATCATATATACACAGGGCCGGTCCGTTGATTTTGAAGGCCCTGTACGAAGAAAAAAAAAAGGGGCCCTATATATATATATATATATATATATATATATATATATATATATATATATATATATATATATAAGCAACGCAAAATAGTTTCAAGTATAGTGAATTGTCATAAGAAAAACTAAAAAAATAAAACAAATTAATTAAAAAGGGACAAATGCAAAATTATAAAATTAAGAGGTTATGTATATACCTTTTTAAAACTAGTACACTAAGAAAAACTAACATCTAAAGTTAGAGGGGCCAAAACTGTAACTTCTAAAAACCAATAAGCTAAACTAAATCGAAGAAAAGAGGATTCGAGCCCTCGTCATAGAGAAAACTAGCGCGCCTAGGCAACTGTTTAAGCATGAACTAAGGCCTGTTTGATACATATTTTTTTAGGTCCAAAAAGATCTTTCTGGCTGAATGGACCGGAAAAACTGTTTGATTTGCACAAAAGAATGGGTCTTTCCCGGTAAGATATGTCTTTCCCAGAAAGCCCCAAAATCATATCTTTCTGGCTGAATGGGCTGGAAAGACAATTATACATCAAACCACGCCTCTTTCTTTCTTTATTGGATTATTAATTTTTTTAAATAACTTTTTTTAAATTTATTTTTTTATTGAACAGTCAATCAGATGTACAATCAAACAACATGGTTTCTTTCCCAGTCAGAAAACTTTCCCAGACAGCACTTTACCAGACAGCACTTTCCCAGACAGAAACTATCAAACGGGACCTTATAAATTATAAGATTATTTTGTATAAAAAGATATATATTTAGATATTACATATATATAATTTGGTTAAAACCGGACCCTATTTTTTTCGGGGCCCTGTGCGGATGCACACTTTGCACAGCCTTAGGGCCGGCCATGTATATACACATACATATAAACACTCCTACACACCCATATACACACACATATATACACATACACAAGCATATGCATATATAGACGTGCATAGATATACATATGCATATACATATAGACACATGCATATATAGACATACTCATACATATACATAAGACACATGCATATAGAGACTAATAGACATACCAAATAAAGTCTTACAGAGTCTATTAAATATACAAATACGAGGAAGTAAATAATTGAAAATATGAGAAAAGAAAACAACAGAGGGAACCCAAACATTAGAAGCACTTGAAATGTCATCAAAGGCATCCCCCCTTGTATCCTTCCTTGTATGTGAACCGCCAAATAGAATCGTACTTTGATGCATTCATCAAAGCAGCCATCTAGTTTTCTCTAATTATTATTAAATACATGACAACTAAGATACATGTGTTGCATTTTAAATGATTGTTCTTTTACATTTATATACTTAACAACCACCACCACCACCACCACCACCACCACCACAACCACCACCACCACCACCACCACCCCCACCACAACCACCACCACCACCATAACCTCCACCATCTCCATCACCACCATAAACTCCACCATCTCCACCATCTCCACCACCACCATCACCTCCACCACCACCACCGCCATCTCCACCATGTTTCTTATTGGATTTACGATCAGCAGAGTCACCACAAGCAAATATAACAATTGACAAGACAGCCATAGACACCAAAATCATGCATAACATGAACGCGATATGGGAACCCTCAAACTTGAGAATTCCTCCGGTGTTTCCTACAAGATCAATCATCCGGGCCATGTTGATGCCTCTATGCAAGTATTATGATAATTTGAGTACGTATTGGTATAGTTGTGTGTGTTACGACAATACGTTGTATATGACTATATTCAATTTATATGCCTGGAAAATTTGACATTGTCATAAATAGGTTGAGCGAGTCCTTGTGATGAAAGTATTTGTTTTTCTGTAACAAGGGAAGTGGTGGGAAAAAGAGGGGAAGATTCCTATGTTTAATTTTGAAATCTTTAATTTTAATTTCGAATAGAAATAGAAGGAAAAGAATAGAAAATTTTTCATTGTGCTTGAATAGTTATTTTTGTTATAGTTTTTTTTTTTTTTTTTTTTTTCTATATTAGTATTATTATCAAATACTTACATATAATAACAAAATCATAAAACCGTCAAAATTGTACCAAATTCATAAAAATAACTATTAATGTTTCATCTGTTTATTTTAAATGGAAATCTTGAACAAAATGTATATACTTTTGTTTTATATTTCTTTCTTTCTCATGAATACATTAGTCCAAACTGTTAACGTAGGCTTGTATACCGTTTGAGAATTTGGGTGAGTAGGGTGACAATATTGACTACGGTTACCCTTGAATTAACGGATTTGTTTACGAAAGGGAAATTGCGTGAAAATTTCGATTAGGATGAACTTCCAATTATACACGTAAGTTTTATCAAATTTTGAATTACCAATATTTTGTAAACAAAGTGAGAGCAAACGAAAACCATAAAATAGCAAACAATGGGTGACTTATTTAAGGGTCTTCAAAATATATATATAAAAAATAATAATTAAAAAAAAAAAAGAAAAAAGAAAAAACACATGTTGCGTGCCAATCTCGACGGATTGCTGATGTGTGAGCATCTTCCGTTCATCTGAAAAAAAAAAAAAAAAAAAAAAAGGAGACTTTAGGGGAGAAAATGAGTGAGAAGGATTCAAACCATTGATCAAACCTCACAAACCGTGCATCTTAAAACTAGCTACATCCATTTTGTTAATTACCTTATTTCTTGAAATAGTATATAAGGTCTAAACTACTAAAATCTTAAATACAATTATTATTATTATTATTATTATTATATTTAAAAATGTAAATAAATATATAACATTTTAAATATGTTTTTAAAGATATATAAATACCTTTTTAAAAATACTTTAAATGTAAAAATACGTTTTTAAAGGTACTTTAATATACAAAATTGTCAAACATATGTTTTTATTAATATAAATACGTTTTATACGTATGTGTATGTTTTTAAAGGTATAAAAATGTATTAATATGTTTTTATACCTTTAAAAACGTATTTATATGTATAAAAACATATTTATACAAATAAAACATGTGTTTAACAGTTAGAAACATATAAAAACATCTTTTATATGTATATATACGTTTTTAAAGGTATAGATATATATAAGTGTAGAAAACCCGAATGTAAAAAATAACTTTTTTATATGCATAATTACATTTTTATATGTATAGATATGTTTTTATATCTTTATAAGCTTATATAAACATATAAAAACATATTTATACATATAAAACGTATTTTTTTATATTTTAAATGTATATATATATATATATATATATATATATATATATATATATATATATATATACACACACACTAGGGAAGTGAAAGGGCGGTGCTTACTAAAATAATATAAATAACATTTTTACTAAAAGAATAGAAAGTAGAATGTTGTAGTTGTGTATAAAAAAATATTAGAAATACAATGTTACAATGGAGTGAAATGAAAGTATAATAGGGTCATTTCAGTATAAGTTTCGATCTTGAATTTCTTACTTAGTGAAGTTTTTCATAGGTTGTATTTGTCTATTTGGCACTAGCTGACACGCATGATGAGAGATGAAAACAATAACTTGTCAACTTCCCAAATGCCGGTACCCAATTACAATATCAATATCATAAGAACACCCATTTTTTTACCTTTTCAATGTTTTCCATCATCACACCTTTGACTACCTAAAGGCAGACTTTGACCTTTGAAACCTTGTTGATTCCTTCTTGATGATCTACACAATCTTCAGTTTGGGCCTGATCATGTAATATGAGAAGTTATAAACATAGATTATGCAGGCTTTGACCTTTGAAACCTTGTTGGTTTTTATGATTATTAATTTGTTATAATGATAGTTGAGTCGTTAAATTCATAAAAATAATAGCTAAGTAGCTAATTTCATTAAGTGGTGAAATACTTTAGCTGGTAATCGAAAGAAAAAATAGTTTGGTAGTTAAATTGAAACAAGTGGTAATAGTATGAAGTGCTTCTAGCCTTCTATATACTTTGCCGTATACCAAAAGTAAATAGCCAGGAAAATGGTTTTTTTTTTAAGTGTCAAAAACTTTATAATGGTTTGATCATTACCTTCATTGTGCAGATTGAAAGTTTGATAGCATCAACAAGACAACATGAACTTAAGTTCCATCAAAAACCATTGTTAAAGGAGGAGTAAGAAGTAATGCTTGTAACAATCAAAGTCACCTGTAACACTATTACAATAGAAGATAAATGAAAGTGTATTTAATAAAAGAAAATTACAGAAAAAAATATTAATAAAAGACAAAATGACAATTATCATATTAGAGACCTTACCTACAAGACAACAAGAAAGCAATAGTAGACCAACTAAAACAGATGGTGAGGAGCCCCAATATATAATTTGCTTATTAAAAATTCGAAAACATGCATAATTGTGTATTGAGTTAACAGAAAAAAAAAATCATTCCAAAGTTTTACACAAAAATTATAGACCAACATAACATCGATAAAAGCAACCAACAAAATCAGGAAGCACCATTTAATCTAAACATCCAAAGATTAAACAAAGGTATCCAAGTCCGTAGAAAACCATATTGGGTTTGAGGTTTGAGATCATGCAAAAACAATACCTGTAACCTGGATAACATGCAGCCTTACTCACCTGTAAAAGAAGAATAACCTGGATAACCTAAAGCCTTAATTGGGATTAATGTATGAACCAGAAGGCCCGGAGATGCGATGAAAAAAAAAAGTTGGATGATAATGGCTAAGATTATGTATAAAGATTTAAATAACATGATAATTATTATTATTACTAACGCCGGCCCCTAAATAACCATTTGAGGATTTTGAGCCCTCCAATCTTCTTCAAATGCTATCCTCACCACATAAACTCGCTATTTACTGTTTTCGATGGCAGTTCTTCGTCCCTAAACATTAGCTACGTTATGTAAGTAACTTTTCTGTCCATAGAAGAGGTCGATTTGAATGAAATCGTCCCATCAGTTGGTTAAAATTTGTCTATCGTTTAATCAATCATGGAGCACAAATTGGCTGACAACGCTTTTCCATTTGAAGAAATTGTTAGGATTGCTACAAGCCCAACCATGCCAACATAGAAGAACAATGAGGTTTCATTTTCTAAAACCAATTGTTGATAGAAGAGATTACTCATTGTCTTATATGCTAGCCCCTCAAACCCAAGTTCCGCTATTGGCCTCCCCGCAACGACTGTTCATCAGATCCAATCCTTTTTCATACCACCGATACTCTCGGGACACGCTCACCTGACCTGGGCCATAGGAAGACTTTCGATACAAGGCTTCAGGATCAACTTCGTTGGACCGGGAATTATCGGGGATTGTGCCACCTGTACCGACCACATCTTTCGGGTTACGACCGTAGCTCTGATACCACTTCTTAGGATCGCTACAAGCCTAACCATGTCAACATAGAAGAACAGTGAGGTTCTATTTTCTAAAACCAATTGGTGATAAAGGGATTACTCATTGCCTTATATGCTAGCATATAGTTTCTTATTTTACCAATATGGGATTGGGTTTGCACCCCCAACAGAAATGGCAACTAAGGTAATTTTCTTGAGCGTACATATGGTTTTTGATTCCCATCTTTAGAAATTTATACGTTTTTACTTTTGAATTGTAGGTATCTGAATTAAAAATTGATTTAATCGGTGGTTTGATTATATTGTAGAATGTAACTATCATTTAATTTGGGAATTTGTTATGTTTTTTTTATATCTGATTTCAATTTCTAATCGCTTGCATAATGAAGAGTTTCGAGCTGTTCCTGAAAATGCGAAGCTTGAAACAATATCAGCAAAATCCACATCTGATTCTGAAAGTGGCAATGCGGAGATAATTGACTTTTCTCTTCACTTCAGTCCTTATAAATCCATTATTGAAAGGGTTATTTTGGAGGAGGTAAAAATTGCTTGGCTTTTCATCAATGGTTAATAGTTTATGATGTTTTATTTATTGTTTTAGGTTTTTGTAATCACCAAAGAAAGTGAAGAATTCGAAAGGAAAAGAAAAAAGATTTTAAATCTAACATAGTGGAAGTGAGATGAAGTTGTGAACCTCTGTTAAGATGATGACGGGGAAGATGATGTACCCTCGATACAAGCAAAAAAGAAAGTAAGGGTTTGCATTCACAATCGAAATTATCCAATTAAACTCGTTGATGAGTCGGATGTGGAAGATTGATGATTCTATAAGTTTCTTTTAATATTTTTAACTTAAGTTTGTTGAGTTTAGCATGTTTTGTTTTCAGTATTATGTTTTATTGTTGTTCTCAATCTATGTTCGCAACTTGATGAATTATAATATAAGTTTGTTTTTATAAATGTTTTGTGTTTTTTTTTGTGGGAAGTATAAAGCTGTTTGTCAAATCATGTTGGTTTTTGCTAGTATTGTTACTATTTCAGATTTCTTTAACTGTATTTGTTTATTATGGTGTTGAAGGAAAGTTGTGTTCTAAGTTATGCGGCAATGATGCATGAATATTGTTGAATCTTAGACTTTTCGGGTCTCGATGAAGGTCTCGAATCCAACGATGCAAGGGAGATCCAAAACTTCGTACCTGAAATACAACACGGTCAGTCAGGAGTTCTCCAGGAATATGGGTCCCGGGAGAACCCTTTTATGGTTAAATTATTCGATGATCGTAATTTGAGTTCGATTAGTATGAGAGAGAGAGA